CCCCCCAGTATCCTTATGTAATACAGCAGGATTTAGAGAGATGGTTTCCCCACATATCGCCTGGGCAGCGTTCATTCACGCCAAGCCCCGCAGCCCGGAGACAACAACAAAAATATATATTTAGATATGACAGCAAGAACAAAAACACTCAGGGCCTTTTCTTCAGCTCCCCCGACTGACGGAGAGAAAAAAACAACAACAGACAGCTTGCATTTACTGCTCTCTGCCCTGCTCCCTCTCCCGATCCGTCATCCATTTTAAACCGAGCTCTCACAAGAACACTTTGAAAGCAACAACCCGGGTGATGTCCCCCTCTTTTTAACTAAAATGGGGGACGGACAGAAAAAAATAAATAAAAGGCGATCACCCCCACTCTGCCGATGCCTGTACTGCAGAAACACCTCGCCGAGCCAGGAGTCGGGGCAGCACGTAGCTGATCTATAAAAACGTATGCAAATATCTTACATATTTATATGCGGAGACGTGGTTCCATCCAGTACTTACTTGGGTCAGTGCAGAGAGCGTGTCGTCTGAGACACGCAGGTGCTGGTGGATTAAAGTCCCTCGGGCTGTGTAGACATAGCTACTTAGGAGTGGTCTGCTTTGGAACTCATTGCTTACCGGGCGTATTTACAAGAGCATTACTGACATCTAGGTTTGCAAGCGCGTCTCCGCTCCGCCGGGGACAGACGCTTCCGACAGCGAGAGGAAACTTTGCTGGTCGGCAGCCCGGCGCATTTATACAGCCTGCCCGCCCCTCCTCCTCCCTCTGCGACGCGGCCTCAGCCGGGACTCCTTCCCGGTCACCCCTCTCAGTGTTTTAACCCTTGGCGGTGGAGGTCGTAGGAGGGTGTGTTCATCCGCTGGGGGGGGAGGCAGGGTTCTCCTCGCACTGAGCAATATAGATCTCCAGGCTAATATAAGTGACATTTCTAGTGGTGAGCAGAGCTGGGGCCCTGGGTTCAGTTCCTGGGGTGCTGTCTGTGTGGAGTTTGCATGTTCTCCCATTGTTTGCATTAGTTCACATGCTGGTGGGTTAACTGGCTTCAGTAAAACTGTCCCTGGTGCGAGTGTGTGGGTCTGTCTTTCTGTCTTGTGGGAGACTGGGGTCCCATCCAGGGTGTACCCCTTTTTGTGCCCGTTGCTTGCTGGGATAGGCTCTGGCCCCCCCAGAACCCCATATTAGTTAGAAGGTGAGAAAATGGAGCTCCCAGTGAGAGTATTATCAGAAGGAAGCAGCTGAAGGAGCAGGGAGCAGTAGGAGTCAATGATTCAGTCCAATGGCTGTCTTTAAGAGACCCTGCCCAGAACTGCTATTGGAGCGCCTGGATCCCACTGTGCTTTCTCACCTGTGCTAATGGCTGTGCTGTTAGTCAGAACAGGGGAACTGTTACAGGACGCCACAAGGGGCCGATCGGCCAGTCTGGCCTGTTCAGTAGTTAGTAGCAGACTCTCCCCCTGAGAGAAGCCAGAGTACTGGCTCTATCAGCCTGGCTAGGAAGCTTGTTCCACGCTCCCACCACCCTTTGTGTAAGGCAGGGCTGCCGTAGGCCAGTGGAGTCCTTCAAACTGTTCACCGAGTCCCACATCGTTAAGCAAGATCTTGGTTAATGATGCCTCTGGGGCCACTGGTCTGCCAGGAGAGCTCCTGTTCTGGAAACGGCAAACCAGAACTCCCTGAACTCTTAGACCATAAGACAGGGCACCATCGAGAGGCCTGCGGCACAGAGCTCGTCTGGTAGTCAGTACAGTAGCTAATTAATCCCAGGACCTCATCCGGCTGTGTCTGTGAGAGAAGCCAGAGTATCGGCGTCAACAGCACCTTGTTCCCCACTCCCACCACCCTCCGTGTAAAGCAGCGCCACCTGTTCTCCTTTTCCAAAGCTCTTCCACGCAGTTTGCACCCGTGTCCTCCTACTCGCCCTGCGCAGAGCAGCTGCAGCCTGGGCTGTCTCGGGGTTAGTGGGGGGTGACATGCTTCAGTCAACAGGGCCCTGCGCGCTGTGCCCAGCCCGTGCTGCCCGTCGATGGGAGGAGACACAGAAAACAAACAAGCCCCCAGTCTCTCTCTCTCTCTCTCCCCCCTCTCCATCACACAATCCCTGCAACTCTCACAGCCCTGCCCAGGCTTCCCACGCAGCAGGTGTTTCCAACCCGCGCACAGCCCGGGCACAGCACGCTCGGCCCCTGGGGGCCCCCTGCGCGGAAAACAGCTCCTCTCTGGGAGCCCGCTGGGAAAGACGCACGGGGACTGCGAACATGAAACAGGCCCTAGTTTCTGCCGTGGCAGGATACAGCCAAAACCGAACCGCGTGCTAAGTCCTCGGCTAAAAATACAAGCGACTTGATAGCAACAGAGCGCCCATTGGCTGAGAAAGGGGAGAGTCCAGGAGCAGTGCAAAGGAAGAGGCAGATCCCTGACAGGAAGTGGGAACAGCTTTGCATGATGGGGGGTGTAGTCCACACTCTTTAGACAGCATGCTCGGTATATTATGTGTTTTATTCGTGCAACACTTTTACTAACTTGCACATAGGAAAGAATAACATTGTTAACATTATTCCATCATCAAAATGCTCCTTTTCCCCGGTGAGGAATACGGCAGCCTGCTGCAGTCTATCCCAGGACCAGACAGTGTGAGGTAGGGCTACAGCCTGGGTACATGTTGCAAGACGTAAACATAAAACCACTACTAATCTTTTAACATGCTAAATAGTCCACACACAGCTGCATCTCCCTCTCACAGGGAGGTCCTGGAGGGGTCAGTGTGTCTGCAGCAGGGCTGTCCAGTCCTGGTCCTGAAGGGGTCAGTCAGTGTGTCTGCAGCAGGGCTGTCCGGTCCTGGTCCTGGAGGGGTCAGTCAGTGTGTCTGCAGCAGGGCTGTCCGGTCCTGGTCCTGGAGGGGTCAGTCAGTGTGTCTGCAGCAGGGCTGTCCGGTCCTGGTCCTGGAGGGGTCAGTCAGTGTGTCTGCAGGTTCTCTCTCTATAGCAGCAGCACCTGAAGAGCTGGGAGAAGCTGTTAAACTGGTCCAGTTAGGTCAATTAGGAGCCGATTTGGCCCGTTAACAGTTGAGCTGGAATAAAACCCCGCAGACACACACCGCCCTCCAGGACCAGGACAGGCCACCCCTGGCCTTACCGCTAAACCCACTTTGAACTAAACAGGACACTCGCGATTAAGCACAGTATAAAAACACCTTTATTACATTTCGAAAATCCTACACGTGTGAAAAAAAAAAAGCAAGATCTTGGTTTGGACACCAGACTGGAGGCGGGACATCTCGACCTCTGGGCGCCCTCCCGACCTTTCCCCTTTCACCTCTTCTTGAAGCCGTACTTCTTGCGCTCGTAGAAGAGGTCGGTCTTGGAGCTGCCCAGGTTCACGATCTTCGGACAGCCGTCTCTCTGCGGGAGGGAGCAGAGCGACGCAATCAGATTCATCGACGGCGAAACACCGGCCGTGAGCCCCTTAGTCCCGCCTGGGGCAGGAGAACGGCTACGCTGGACCAGCGGGTCACCCGTCGAGGGGGCGTTAACCTGCGGGATGGTGGCTCTGCAGGACCAAGGGTGCCGACTGCCGTCTAGATCGACTGATCACATGACACTATCCCAGTGGGAGGTCAGCGGTTCCCAGCCGCTGTCCAGGAGGAACACCTGTCTGCTGGTTTTCACCCAAGCTGGGCCCTAATCTCCTGCACTAACCGAGGACTAAACCGATCTGCGTGTATTAGACTTTCCTATAACTCATGTCTGCGGGCAGTCCTGAGTGTGACAAATACCCGCTTCAAGGGTCTTTTTCCCAGCAGCTTCAGCACACAGGACTTCACCGATCCTCTCCTCAAATTTCTTGCCAGTTTCTGACTCTTACTAGCTGATCTGTTGATGATGCACAGACAGTCTGAATAAAACTATCGGACACGCCCACACGGGGGTGTGACCCCATAATCTGACACCTGCAATTGGCTTTTTTCTTCCTCTCACAGGTGCAGTGGGTCACATTTCAGCACACTTGAATGAGGGAAGTTCTGTTTCTCGGAACCTGGCACATCACACATCCCCCTCCACCCTGTAGGGGCTGAGAGCACATTCACATACATGTACACCCCAGACAGAAAACTGAAATCACCGAGTCTGTGATTAAGAAGTCAGCTGGAGAAAAACCCACAGAGCACAGAGGCTCCTTAATCTTGGTCCTGGAGGCCAGAAAGACGACTCGAACCTGTGAAGAGGGGAGCAAGCAGGCGCGGGGCAGG